ATCGGCCTCCGGCGACCAACCCATAAAAAATTCTCTGTCAGAAGACCACCCACGCGCCGCCACGCGCTACCGGAAGAAATTTTCCGGCAAATTCCGACGCCCACGCGCCAGCGCGTGAGGCTGTTTCCGGCCAGATTTCAGAAAAACTTCTTCAAGACAGTGTCTTCTCCTCGCAAATCCGAGTCTACCCTTAAAATCAAATTCCGACCACTTTTATATTTTTTCGGCGTGAATAGTGATTTTCTGGCGTGAACAGTAATTTCAAAAAAATTTTGCTTTCCCGGTGCAACATAATAATGGCATTTGTATATGAAGCCTTTAACTCACAGTCCATTGGATCCAATGCATTGAATCCAATCCAGATGGTTTCTTTATCGGATTATATTGAGTTCCTTCCGTACAAAGCATGTAAACACACATCTTCAGATATAGCTTCCATTGTTCACAGATAGTAGTGTGACTTGTGTCTCTCAATCTTCAACTTCTGAGTCTTGAGTCATTGATTTAGGTGCATCTGATCATATTTCTAGTAACAAATCTCTTTTCACTAGTATTTCGTATTCTCAGCTCTTCCAAGAGTCACAATGGCCAATGGGACTCAAACCATGGCAACTGCAATAGGTCAAGCAAGCTCACTTCCTTCTTTACCTTTAGATTCAGTTCTTTATGTTCCCAATAGTCCTTTCAATCTCATAGTCGTTAGTCGCTTAGCCAAATCACTTAAATGCGCTGTTTTATTTCTTGATGACCTTGTTTTTATACAAGAACGTTGTACGGGGTGAATCATTGGTACCGGGCGTGAATCAGATGGACATTATTACCTTATCCTTGCAAAATCACTCAGACTCACATCTTGTCTTCCTTCAATAACTTGTCTTATTACCAATTCACCAGATCTATTACATAAACGGTTGGGACATTCCAGTTTGTCAAAACTTCAAAAAATGGTACCTGGTTTATCTCACTTGTCCGCTCTAGAGTGTGAGTCATGTCAGCTCGGTAAGCATACCCGTTCCCATTTCCCCGGCGTCTTGATAATCGAGCAGAGTCACCTTTCACTTTAGTCCATTCAGATGTTTGGGCTCCTAGTCGGGTCAATTCTACCTTGGGATTTCGCTACTTTGTCGGTTTCATTGATGATTATTCCAGGTGCACTTGGATATTTTTGATGAAAAATCAGTCTGAGTTGTTTTCTATTTTCCAGACCTTCCACGCTGAAATTCAAAATCAATTTGGGGTTTCTATCCGCACATTTCGTAGTGATAATGCCCTAGAGTATTTATCTTCCCCATTTCAGCAGTTTATAAACTCTCATGGGATTATTCATCAAACATTTTGTCCGTACACATCTCAACAAAATGGGGTAGCTGAAAGAAAGAATAGACATCTTATTGAAACTGCTCATACCCTACTCACACAATCTCATGTTCCGTTGCGTTTTTGGGAGATGCAGTTCTTACATCTTGCTATCTTATTAATCGTATGTCATCTTCAGCTCTCCAGAATCAAGTTTCATTCTCTGTCCTATTTCCCCACTTACCTTTGTTCTCTCTTCCACCCCGTATCTTTGGAAGCACGTGTTTTGTTCATAACCTTACTCCAGGAATAGATAAGTTAGCTCTTCGTGCTCTTAAGTGCGTATTTCTGGGTTACTCGAGAAAGCAAAAAGGGTATCGATGTCATTCCCCTAACCTCCAGCGGTACCTTATGTCCGCTGATGTTACCTTCTTTGAAACCCAATCATACTTCACAGATCCAGGTAATCACTTAGATATTTCTGAGGTACTACCAGTTTCATCTTTTGGAGATTCAGTCACTATCTCCCATTCATCTTCCTCTACAAATCCAGCTCCACCACCTACAGCTCCAATTGCAGCTCCACCACTTATAGCTCCAATTCCACCACCTGTAGCTCCAGTTCCACCACCTAGTCCAGTTCAACCTTCTGCAGCTCCACCACTCTTTACTTATCATCGTCGTCCACATCCAACATCAAGCCCAGGTGATTTACATCCTGCATCAGATTCTGCACCTACTGTGGACTTGTCTCCTCTTAGTCAACCAATTGCACTCTGCAAAGGTGTACGATCCACAGTTAATCATAATCCCCATTGTCGGTTTAAGTTATCATCGTCTGTCATCACCTCATTATGCTTTTATATCATCTTTGTCCACTGTTTCTATTCCTAAGTCTACAGGTAAGGCACTATCTCATCCAGGATGGCGACAGGCTATGATTGAGTAGATGTCTGCTTTACATGTGAGTGGCACTTGGGAGCTTGTTCCTCTTCCTTCAGGTAAGTCTACTGTTAATTGTCATTGGGTTTATGCAGTCAAAGTCGGCCCGGATGGCCAGGGTGATTGGCTTAAGGCTCGTCTTGTTGCAAAAGGAAACACTCAGATTTTTGGGCTTGATTATAGTGACACTTTCTCTCCCGTGGCTACAGTAGCATCTGTTCGTCTCTTTTTGTCCATGGCTGTTGTACGTTATTGGCCTCTTTATCAGTTAGACATTAAGAATGCTTTTCTCCACGGTGATCTTGAGTAAGAAGTTTATATGGAGCAACCACCTGGTTTTGTTGCTCAGGGGGAGTCTAGTGGTCTTGTATGCCGATTGCGCAGGTCACTATATGGTTTGAAATAGTCCCTTCGAGCTTGGTTTGGTAAGTTCAGCACGGTTATTCAGGAATTCGGCATGACTCGTAGTGAAGCTGATCACTCTGTGTTTTATCAGCATTCTGCTCCTAATCTGTGTATTTATCTGGTGGTTTATGTTGATGATATTGTTATTACTGGCAATGATCAGGATGGTATTACTAATCTGAAGCAGCATCTCTTTTAGCACTTCCAGACTAAGAATCTGGGCAAATTGAAGTATTTTCTAAGTATTGAGGTCACTCAGTCTAGCTCAGGTATTGTTATTTCACCACAGAAGTATGCCTTAAACATTCTTGAGGAGACTAGAATGATGGGTTGCAAACCTGTTGACACTTCTATAGATCCGAATACTAAGCTTCTGCCTGGACAGGGGGAGCCTCTTAGAGATCCTACGAGATATAAGAGGTTGGTTGGCAAATTGAATTACCTCACAGTGACTAGACCTAACATTTCTTTTCCGGTGAGTGTTGTAAGTCAGTTTATGGATTCTCCTTGTGATAGTCACTGGGATGTAGTTGTTCGCATTCTTCGGTATATAAAGTCAACCCCAGGCAAAGGGTTACTACTCGAGGATCGAGGCCACGAGTAGATTGTTGGGTACACGGATGCTGATTAGGTAGGATCACCTTCTGATAGACGTTCTACGTCTGGATATTGTGTTCTAGTAGGAGGTAATTTGGTCTTTTGGAAGAGCAAGAAACAGAATGTAGTTGCTCGGTCTAGCGCCAAAGCCGAATATTGAGCCATGGCTGTTGCAACGTGTGAGTTAGTTTGGGTCAAGCAGTTGCTAAGGAGTTGAAGTTCGGAGAAATCAGCAAGATGGAACTGGTGTGTGATAATCAAGATGTTCTTCATATTGCGTCAAATTTGGTGTTCCATGAGAGGACTAAATACATTGAGATCGACTGTCACTTTGTCAGAGAAAAGATACTCTCAGGAGATATTATTACAAAGTTTGTGAAGTCGAATCATCAGCTAGCAGATATTTTCACTAAGTCTCTTACTGGTTCTCGTATTAGTTACATCTGTAACAAGCTCGGTACATATGATTTATATGCACCGGCTTGAGGGAGAGTGTTAAGTAGTTAGTCGTGTATAAGTGTCCCACATCGGGAAGTAGATAAATATTATTATGTAATCACTGTATATAAATAGGATTGTACGACACTTTAATTATGTAATTAATAATATTATTTTCTCTGTGCTTTCTCACAATCATGTTACTCCATATAAACTTCTCAAGCCAATATCATACAAATAAAATAAAAATAAAAAGTACTAGAAGTTTTTTATATTTTCTACTGACGTGTAAATCTCTAAGACGCTAAACAACTCCTAGAAAAATATAGGATGTAAAGTAACAGTGTTGACATGACTAAAACATATTCTCAACTAATAGGCATTGTCTATGTAACAGTGTTATGAAAAGCTCTCATTTGAGGCGCGCTTAAACCCTGCTAAAGCTCAGGATAGGCGCCTCACCTCACTTAGGTCGCGCTTTAGTGTAGCAAGCATTAAGGCATGCACCCCATTGACCATATGTTCTATTTTGAATATAGCGGTACTAAACGATACATAAGAACATCAAAAAAGATATATTAATTGTTAAGGTGATCATTATGAATGAAGGTGTTACTTTTTTCTTGCGTTACATATAATTGTGCAATTACATCTCATACTTCGATTTTGCTTTGTACTTAAATCCCTGATAGATCATAGACCTAGAGGGCTTTTTAACGCTTTTCGCTTACGATAACAGTGCTATATAGATTTATTTCTTCCATTGTGCAATATTTTTCGCTTAGTCTGCAAGGATCCCAAGATATTGGAGATCATTCGAGACAACTTCCTTGCAAATGATTTTAGGTCTACCTCGTCCCCTTTTAATAACTTCACTTATCATGGTTTCACATCTGTGGACCAGTGCATCTAGTGGTCGGCGCAAGACATGCCCAAACCATCTCAAACGACTCTCTCATTTTATTGCTGATATGTGCTACTTGAACCTTCAGGCAGATGTGGGCATTTCTAGTCTTGTTTAGAAATTCTCAGAAAAATTAATACTTTTTCCTGAATCAGGTTAAATGTTCTACTATAAACTACCATAGAAAATCAAAGCTTAATAAATGGAAGTATCTCCAATATTATCATCTAAGATATCATGACCATCTGCAGAATCTTACTTTTGAGAGGAAACAAAAGAAAAACCTAGATAATAAAGTGTTGTAAATTTGTCTCACAGCAGAAAGATTGTATCAGAAATAGATTTCAGCTTCTTCGACGAGTTCTTTTTATCGTTTCAGAGTCATAATCCAGCCACAAAAAACTTCCAGTGATTAGCCTCAAAAGNCTTCCGACTTAAGTTGGCCCCCAAGTAAGATAAGTCCCACCGTTGCAAAAGCAGATAAAATGGTTGATGAATAGGACATTACAAGCAGAACTCCTCGCAGGGACTGCACCAAAAAACTATTTCATAAATACCAACACGGAGACAAATATAAATATGAGTGGTTTTCGAGTTAGTTACCTTAGCAAGCAACAAAGCATTGTCATTTGCATACTGTAAGGAGCTCTCTTGTATGCTCTCTACGCCTTGACTTAATTTCCAAGAAAGTAAACTGTATTCCAAATAGCAGACATAGAATTCTTAAACAACCTTCGATTAAAGATATAGAGGTTGCGGTTCAAAAGAAACGATTACCCAAAGATAAATGCAATGCCAGCTCCAACATAAGCTTTTCCTGGGGTCAATTCAACCTGAAGCTCCCCAAACTGAAGCAAAATACTCTTAGGATAAAGTGCATCAAATGCAAGCTTGCAAAAAAAGTATCAATGCATCATTTAATACCTTAAATGTCCTGGTTTGCGGCTTAGGTTCTTCACCAGTAATCCCAGATACTGAACTTGCAGACAACAGCCTCCCAGTCTTTATCATTACTTTAGCAATCTATAGTGATCAAGTATCAAAATTTAGGAGCAAAGAAATAGTTGGATGTATCAAGTAGAGTGCTGTGCAGAATAAATTATATCTGACAACAGTTCTCCGTTATTTCACCCAGTTGCCTTGAAGCAAAGAGATTAATCTGGGTAAAACTTGAGGAACAAGCTGCATGTATAACCTTAGTCTCTTGTGCCAAAGATCTTTTAACCATTACAGTACTGCTCTAGAATTAAATTAACTCAAAGACGACCAATGACAATTCATTTTAGCATCATTCACCCAAACCTCAGAACCAATATACGTAAACCAACTAACATATTCCACACGGGATACACGTATCACCTTGTAGTATGCTTGTCAAGTTTAGCTTTTGTAGTATTTTTACTCCTTTATGCCTAACCTGGCTCTACTCTCTAGTGCCAGTTCTCAGAACTCAAGTTCAGACAACTTGGCTTGTCAGCTTGTTAGGCTTTCTCCTGATTTATGTGACAACCCCAATCCATATTCCAAGTGGTAGACAACCAAACCTTTATAAGCCCCTCAAATGAGTGCCACTCATACGTAACCACTGGATGTTTCCCATCATTATCCAGGCTATTAGATCTGAGAGATGCGCTATAATTCTTCAAAGACCCCCATAACATATGTCTTGCTCAGATTACCAAATTCAAAATGTTTATTTTTCCTGAGAGAACTTAGCAACATAGGGTAATATAGAGCGCTACAGGCCGAGGGCATGACCATGGCAATCAGAGCAAGTCCAGGACTTACTTTGACGTTCAAGTATAAGGAGATCATTGACAGAGATGAGACCATCAGACATGCCAGGGATTGTAAAAATAAAAAATGAAAATAAAAAAATTGAGAAACTAAGGGGCTACAAAACCGTCATCTAATCAAGACGCTAGATTAACAGATGAAACTACGATAAAAAGCAAACAAGAAACAACAGCAAAAACAAAAGTAGAAATATATCCTAAAATCTCTTACACCCACTGTCCTCATCCAAACACTGAACTAAGTCCTTTCCCCATATAAGTGTCCCGCCTCTAACTCATTCACCTCCAAAGTAGCACCTGGATAATCAACAACTGATGATTTTAAGGTAAATTTTAATCCCTAAAAAAATCATTGTGTATGTGGAGAGATCAATCCCTTCGCCATTGGCTAAGAGCCACATACAACCATGAAAACAAAAGGGACAAAAAGGAAAATATGCAGAGAGATCAACTATGTTTCCTTAGCAGCAGACAAACACAACAACATGAAAAGAAGAGGATAATTCTTTTTCTTAAGCCATTTCAAAAAAAAAAAATCTTATGTAAATGGATGACCTTTACTCCTATATTCAAAAGATTTAGGGAATATATTCTTTTAACACTTAAAAAGCTGCAGGGAAATTATATAAAGTACCTTCTGTACTTCACCTTCTCCATATTGTCCCATGGACTGGAACCTTCTTCCAGCTGATAACAAGCGCCTTCCGAGTGCTAACTAGTAATAAGAATGAAATTCAGATGGAAAAAGGAATTCAATTTGCTTGCTAAAAGTAAGAAGTAAAGCATCATAGTTGTAGGCTCTTTCTTGCCTGATTTTTGATAGCCTGACAATGAGCCAACCAATAGAGGCAGCTTGTTCACTAAAGCTGTGGATGTTGATGTATCAGCCCGTTCCCATGCCCGGCTTATATTTAACAATGTCTCTCCCACCTCCTCACCACACTACAAATGCAAAATTAAGCGATCATCTGTAAAGTGCTTCTCTCAGTGAGTTTTGCTTTCTTTCACCCTCTATTGTTATAAGGGTGGCTTGATACTTGATAGTTTCAAAATTCAAATTTACATAAAGGGGAACAGAATCAGGTAACAACAGCATGTTGGGGGAAAAAAGAAACCATAGCTGAACAAGGGCAAAGATGATTAATCAACTTAATTAAGACCGAAATGCAGAAAAAATTCAGTTGGGTGACTACTGAAACTGTTGAAAGTTATTCTATTCTTTTCTGGATATCCCATTGAGGACATCTTTAGAAAAATAGTAGGTACATTTCTTTTATACCATCAGAAGCATAGTGCATCTTTTATTATCTTACTGTTAATTACATGACAAAAAAACATCGTTTTTTTGTCTGTTTTTACATTATGTCCATCAATTCAATCTCAGGTTACTCTAGTGCTCAGCAATATTCAGTTTTATGTTCTATTTGACTTTCCAAAAAGGACCCTCTCATAGTTCGCTAACAATAGAATATTGGCAAAAAATGAGGAAGCATATCCAGAGGAACATGACTGACCATGTGACGAATGGAAAACCCCTGTGAAGATTCATTTCCTGTATTCATCTGAGACGGGAGGTTTTATAGTCATAATGAGCACAAACAATTTTTTAGCAGAAAGTATCCAGCTGTGACTGAACAAAGAAACTTAAGTACACATCTAATAGCTGCTATCAAATCATATAAGACACTTGTTCCATAATGTGAAGATGCCAAATAGAGAACACCTATCCCTTGGATGATTAAAGTTTAAAGCACGGTGAGTAACATCTTAAAAGAGTATCTTTGAATAGTACAACTAGTCAAATCATATTGGTGATCCAGGTTTTATCAGTTTCATGGTTAAGATGTTAAACATTGTAAAGATGTTAAAAAGGAAATAACCAGTATAGGTACTAACCTCATCTTTAATTGGCCCATTTGAAAGATCAAATGCTGCATCGTTCAGCTACACCATGTTCAAATTTTATTAGTCAGGACTTAAACAAAACAATAAACACCCCACCCCCTTCAACGATGCAAATCAAACCCAAACATCCAGACCTCTAAATGAAATATCTTGAATATTCAAAAGTTACATAAATGACCCTGGTCATAGTAGGAGGCAACAATACCAGACCCAAAGCAACACTGACAGTGACAGAGAAAAAGAAAACTAACCGACCAAAAGTAACAACAAGTATTTTGCGACCCGATTTTACTCTGTTGTATCACTCCAACTTGCAATTTTGTTTCCAATGTTATAAGAAAGAAAATTACTAAAGGGCCAAGAGTGCTTGAGGCGTATAAAAACAAAAAAAAGGATCACTAAAGAGCAAATTATGCTTGAGTGTGTGTTGGAACACTTCTCAAAAGAGTAATAAGTTGCAACTTGGAATAATATATTAGACAATGCTATTTATTTGTTCTAGTGATAGAATAAGTCTATTATGGATTATTGAACGTGGAACAACTTCTGATTCAGATAACATAAGGAGGTATTTTGACGGTTGGTACAGTTTCAAAATGTCATAACCATTCAATAAGCAGATAAATTCACCAGCTACAGTTCAAAATAAAATCAGTTCCAAGATTCAAAATGCATTGTACTAAATATGACTAACTACACACATGAGAAGAAAATATCTTCTCAACTTACATCTAAGCGAAGATCACGAGGAAGCTGCGAAAAATAATCTGTAGGTAGTACAAAACTGTCCTGGAAAAAAAAAAAGCAAAGGAGAATTAATGTAGGGAAGTAATTAGCATAACACTCATGGGGTCCCCAATTACAAACACTGAACCAAAAATGAAATGAGTTTGGGTCTTACGGCGACTTCTTGCAGAAGAATTTGAGGGTCTGGTTCGAGAGATTTAGAGGAATCTGATTCTGTAACAGCAAAAGGCACTGTTCTTGTACGAGAATCGAATTCGAGGAAATTGTTGCGAGAAGATGGTGTAGGAAGAAGAGTGGAGATATGAAGAGGGCATTTGGTGAAACCAAGAGTAGTAGGAGTTGGAGAAAAACAATGGATATGTTGATGGAGTGAGAAAGAGGAAGCCATTGAAGCAGAAGAAGAAGAAGAGACGAGTGGCAAATTTTCAAAACTCAGTTAAATTGGGGGTTTCGTGGTTGTGGTTTAGTTTTGCCACTTCGCATCTTGCTTCAGCCAATCACATTTCTTGGATTTCATCTTAATTATAGTACTACAGATTTCATAGCATAGATTTTTTTATGAAGGAATGTCAAATACGATTTGTGCTAAGGGTTGAACTTAAAAACAAAACTTTTAGTTTTAGCAAGTGATGTCCATAGCATTTACTAATTCTAAGTGATTAGTGTATATGTTCATTATACTTGTGTGCAAAAATATAAGCTTATTAGTAGAAGGTATAATACATCAACAACTTGAGATTTGCCGAATTTTTTCATACGGACATTTATACTAGGACTATTACTTATTAGACATATGAACTCAAATTAAGATGTACTGATTAGATACGACTCCTTGACATGAAATATAGCGTGAAAGTATCCGTAAGAATGGCAGTGGGGCGGGGCGGGTTTGGACTAAACCCGCAAAACTTCAACCCGCCCTGCCCCGCACCACATAGCAAATTTTCTGTTTTCAACGCTCCTCCTAGCACCGCACAACCCGCTCGCCCCGCCCCGCATAAGTTTTATTTTTCTTTTTTCTTTCATTTTCTTATTTAACTAAGACAAATAAGTAAAACAATTTGTTATTCAGTAAAGTTTGAGAGGTTATTAGTGCCCTTACTAATATACTAATTGTTACACCCCATTTTTTTTATACGTGAGAGTACGTCGTAAGTCAATTGATGTAAGTTCATAAATAAGATTATGTTTAGAAGCAAATAAAGTAAGTTAATCATGTTACCTTGGAGGTTACAAATATTTAAAATCATGAATAACGAGTACCAAGAGGGTTGAAAAGTTTAGAAGCTAAATCAATTGAAGAAAATAAGTTTCGTCGAAAGTCGATAAGTTTGGAATATTATAACATGTACTTTGGGGTGAGATTAGGGTTATTAACATTATAACGAGGTTATTCTATAAGTTATTTTAGTCGTATGATAGTCATTTGCTACGTTTTGAAGGCAAGAAAGTTGTGGAACAAAAGTTGGCAAAGATCATCACAAGCTACATTCATAATTGTGCTGAAAATTAGGTCAAATGTAGCTGAGATTTTCTCCAAATATACCTGGCATTATGAGGTGATCTACCTACCAAACGAGTCTAGTTTCTAACGCATTAAACCGTTCGTTGATATGATATCAGAGTAGAGAGATATTCGCATTTTCGCGAGACCGCGCAAGTAACTCCCAATGGGGCCCACTTAGGCGGTGGTCGACCTACTTTACTTTATAAACGATTTGGACGCCTATTTTTAACTCATTTTCAACTCAACTTCATCTCCAAACTTCTCCTAACCCTTCTAAGCAGATACCACAAGGGTTTGAAGTTGTTCCAAAGTGATTACACCACATTTCAACATCAAAACTTAGTTCTAGTGAAGAACAACACCTCTTTGAGGTTGTGTTGTCATTGAGGATTGTTGTAGGCTGTGTTTTGCTAAAATTCCAAGTTGTTGCTACTGGCTAAGGTGAGTATAACAACCTACTAATTGTGCTTAAGCTTGCTTGTATGTTGGTTAAGTTGTTAGGATGATAAACTACAAGATAATACTTGGATTAGCTTAAGTCAATTCTATGGTGTTGTATTGCCATTGAGGGTTGTTGTAAGCTTAATGTAACTTGGATTTCGACTTGAAGTTACTGTAGGAGGTATGTATATTGTGTTCTTGCATGTGATTAAGGTTATCTTTATATTGATTAAGTTAAATGGATGGAGTAAACATAAACTAGTGAATAAAGTTACTAATTGAAGATAGTTGGAGTTATGGATTGTTTCCTTTGTTATAAATATATGGTATAAGGATGGAATCATTGATGAATGACTTTCTTATCATGTTAATGATACTGTTAAGTTAATGTAAGAAGTCTATAAGGGGTGATATGTGTTATACGGATTCCAATCGGAGCTTGCCGCTCGTCGTGAAGTAGTTGTGACTTGATGTTGTTATATGGTGTCTTGTTATTGATATTTATATGTTGATGAATTTCTCTGGTTGTTGTTGTTGGTATATGGTATTGTAGGAGGCCCTTGTTATAGGGGAGATGTTTTCCGAATTTACGTAAATGAGCTACTAGCTTATGTTACAAACTTAGCCTTTGCTCAGCACTGATTTTGAATCTCTTTATACTATGATAGATTGAGTTGACTTATTTGAAGAGTTGCTTGGAAGGTATTAAGGACTCAATGGGTTTAAAATATGTTAAGTCACTTCCTTCTTTCTTTTTTCATGATCTAAAGTGAAATGAGTACACTATTTCATAAACGGATCTACTCCTAGCAACTACGGTTGTCCATGTTGTTCTTTCCTTATAAAGTTATTCTAAGCAAGTGTGTATGATCCTTGAATCCTACTGAGGTTCATATTGAGGGTACGGATGTCCACAATGTTAATCGAAGGTGCGACAACCCTACGTTACTCCGAAAGGTTCAGGATATTATTCCAACGAGTCCAGCATGCATTATATCTATCTATCAATTTTACTCTACCGAGCCGCGCTATAGATGGTCGGGTGCGACACCTATTGTGAAACCACTAATCAGTTGGGTTTACCGAGCTCTACGTGGCCGGATACGATTCTACCGAGCCTTATGATGGCCGGGTACGTTTTTACCGAGTCCTCTTTGAGGCCGGGTACGATATGATGATGATGATGCCCGTAGAGGCATATGTTTTAAAAAGTTTATTTATATATATGTATTATGCATTTCATGTCAGTAGCCCCCAGAGGCACTCAGATGTTACAAGTTGTATCTCATCTATCTATCTTTACATTATTGTTCTTGTTTATGTTTTCCTGCCTTACATACTCGGTACTTTATTCGTACTGACATCCCTTTTGCCTGGGGACGCTGCGTTTCATGCCCGCATGTCTCAATAGATAGGTTGACATTCCTTCTAGTAGGCTATCAGCTCAGCAGAAGGTGCTGGTGCACTCCACTTGCTCTGGAGTTACCTATTTGGTCAGTATGATTTGGACATGTACTAATTAGTATGGTGGGGCCATGTCCTCACCTTTATGATGTGTATGTTCTCTCAAAGGCTTGTAGGCAGATGACATGTATATGAAAGATTGTATGGCTTTGTCGGCCTATGTTCAGTGTACGAGTATTCAGTTTGGGTCTTATAGGACCGTATGTCCCATGTATAAGTTTGTATTATATCTTGGGTCATCCTATGTCAAGTATTCCCTTATGTTTTATTCTGGTTATATCATGACGACCCTTCTGTCTCATTTACCCATGATTGTATGATAAGAAAGATACGTTACGTTGGTACTCGATTGGGTAAGGAAGCGGGTGCCCATTGCGGCCCTCCAATTTGGGTCGTGACAAAAGTGGTATCAGAGCAGTTCTGTCCTAGGGAGTCTACAAGCCGTGTCTAGTAGAGTCTTGTTTATGAGTGTGTTGTGCACCACACTTAGAAGCAGGAGGCTACAGGGCATTTTGGTTTGTCACTCTTTCTTCTTACTCTAGATCATGTGGTAGAGCTCAGTTGTAAGGATTCAAGCTCCTAAATTCTATTTTATTCATAATACAAGGATACCTACATCCACAATGACAGTTGGTAAAAGATAGAATGTTGTTGTGGAAGAGTTGATCAAAGGAACTCGATTTTACATCATGCTTATGATGCGTAAATGTTAGGTCTTCAGCAGATCATGTGTGTACTAATATGTGTGAACTTCTTAATAAGGATCCCCAAGGCATGAATATCTATCCACCCATATGGTAAAGAGCGACGAGAGAATCAGGAGGTGGATACAAGTTTCAATAAGTAAAAGAAGCAACTTGAAAAAGAGTATGAGGTACGCAGCTAATAAAGATTATCAGTATTTGCAATTCAGGAAGATAAATACAAGCATTTTGAGTTACCTTCAACAGTAACAGAGGTATGTACAATTGCCCACGCCCATCTCAGTTATGCCCTATGGGAGTTGACAGATATAGTTTAAGAGAAGAAGGAGATAGCAAGATCCAATTGGGGTTAGAGTAACCCAAAATGGTAGATGGATTATTATCATTAGCTAACATTTACGAAGGATATTGCAAATGTGGTAACAGTTCTCTTTGTGAGACACCCCGATGGTGCAATCTAGAATAGTACATTTAGATATGAATACTAGAATGTCTGGAAAAATTTAGAAGATTGGCACTAAAATCCTAGAAGGGATAAATATTTACTGTTGTATGGCTCCCCTTCCTAGTAAAGAGAGAATGCTAGGTGACTTGAAGAGCCAGTGAGATGAAGCAAGGGGAGCTAAAAGTGAAAGAATGTTCTGTTGAAGTTATCAAAATAAAGTGATAGACATAAATATTAGCCGAAGAATAAGAAGAGAGTAATCGAAGCAGTATGAGTAAGATGTGATAAATGGATGATAATGGTATATCAAAATATGACAGAATGACAAAGTCTATAGTCAAGTGAAGCAAAAGATAAGAGATGACAGGCCTTGAGACAATAAAAGAGTATAGGCCAAAGGCTATATCCTCATTCGAGAATTGAGTTGGTGACTCGAACGTGATTACCAGAAGAAAAAATTAGACCCCCGTAGTAATAGAATATAGTATGGGGTAGCAAATAAGATAAAAAAAGAATTGAACATGAATTAGGGATCGAAGGAATTGGTAATAGTCGGTATTGTGAGAATTTTAGAGATCATGTTCCAACAATAATATAATAGACAACAGACCAATAACCTTTAAAGGTCATTTAAGAAGACGTTTCCCTAAAGCAAGCACTATGAGCAGAGTTAATCTGATGGGACTAAGTGTGCCAATTACACTAGGTGTCAACTTCGTGCGTAAGAAATTCAGTTATCCTTGGTACAGAATAGTTACCATAAGGCGAGTAAGGGTCATTGATGATGTGAAAAAGACGCCAAAGATGAAGAGGTAAAACATCTATTGGTAGATCTTCGTAGCACTAAGTCTTAGTACTCTCCTAAAGGGGGAAAATGGTGTGATATGGTATTAAGTCGGAGTTATTGGTTCAGGTAACTATGGAAT